AATAATTTAGTTAGTAGTTAGTTATTTAGTTAGTCAGTCAGCATTTTATTTATTTATATTGTAAATAGCTATCTTATTCATCTTCATATATACATTATATAATATACATAATCATAGAGGACCCCTCTGTAAATCACCCCCCAGTGAAGTTGGCATCCTCAATAAAGATTATTATTATTATTATATAGGCTATATGGGATAACCCCCCCCCCCCCCCCCCCCCCCCCCAGGTATGCACTTCAACTTTTGAATTCTTTTCCACTAGATTGGTCACCAAAAGAGAAACATCATCTTGCCCAAGAACTCAGTGATGTACTTGTTTACCTGGTCAGACTGGCAGAGAAATGCCATGTTGATCTTCCGCAGGAGGTAGTAGCAAAGATAGCAGTAAATTCCAAGAAGTATCCTGCCCATCTTGTCAAGGGATCAAGCAAGAAATACACAGAATACAAGGATATGAAGCTTCAAATCACTGACAGATGTACATATATCTTCTAGTATAAAGAAGTTCAATTTCTCTAGTTGTATTAATGAATGTAAATAGCGGATGTACATTATTTTTACTGTGTTATTCAGGAGACATAACTTAATATATTTGTTCCAAAGATATTTTAAATCTGATTTTAGGACAGTGAACCTCACTGAAGTGTAAGAGCTAGAAATTCTGATGGTGAAATGAAAACTACAAGAATAATAAGCAAAACAAATTTAATCTGAAAGGTTCTAGTCACAAAGTACATGTACTGTAGGTTGAACACCGGGTTTGATCAAATTGTACTGACGAAAACCTTTTTATTGTGGTTTCATTAGTACGAGAAAAGGAAAACCTTGTACTCAGAAAATTTTATCTTTGGTATTATATAGTTATTTTTCCAAATCTGAAGCAAATAATTTTAGGCATTATTGTTTACAAACATTGCATCAATGTTATTTTGTTATTTCAACAGCCAAAATTTGAGTTTTGTCGGCAAATTCATTCTATTTGATTTTGCAGTTATTTTGCCACTTTAACTTATAAATTGTTTAATGCATAATTTTAGTAACATTTTTTATCTCCCTGTAATAAAAAAATTTTCTTATCAATTTATAATGAAAATAATATTAAAATGAGTGGTTGGTTTTTTTTCCGCATGATGTAATGATTCCTTCAATTTTATCAAGGGGCAGATCCAGGAGAAGGGTTAATTGGCAGGGTTGCAACCCCCTTTGGATAAGTTTTTTCAAACTTGTTGACCTTTTTAGGGGTTTTCTTAAAATTTCAGATGAGCATCCCTCAGCCCAGCTATTGTGGGGGGGGGGGGGGGGGAGGACAGGGATGTCTGAACTTCCTGCCTCCCGTAAATCTTACTCCGGGTTGCCACCGGCACGGTCCCTTCCTTAGTGTCTCCCACCTCTTTGTGCTTCGAAAGTGCGTTCTTGAGTACCCATTGTCAATTCTCGAAGGGTGGATTTGCATCTTGCTACGATAGAATGACAATATTTTATCATAAAACTGACCTTAAAAATAATCTTGATCACTTTTGTCCAGTATAGCTTTCCATGGGAGTCCTGCCTACCTGCCCTCTCTTCTCCCATAGACTTCCCACTCCCTTTTCTCCCAGGTTTTTTGCCCCCTACCCCACTATTAGCGTTACTATGCCAACCTTTTTAACCAAAAGCCGAAACCAAAATACAGTCGCACCACCAAATTATGTTTAAATGTTGGATAGTGCGAGAAATGAGATTGAAAACAGGAGTGTATGATGCTCCTGGATTGAAATGAATTCACAACGCCATTGTTGAAGCAATCGAACTCCGATTCTTATTATCAATCAAAGCCTAATCAAAAATCTAGCACAAATATATAAATCCCCATTGGGGGGGGGGGGGTGGGGAGTTCCATATAAAAGAGACAGGGGTGATTAGGGCCAGAAAATGAATTTGAGCCACACCCACAAAACGAGATTTTGGTACCTTTTAGGGGTTCTTTGCAAAAATTTCCGACGATCCCCTCCCCCTCGGGTATAAATCGCGAACGGATGGGCGAGTGGGCCATGGGGCGAGTTTGTAGTTGTAAACAAAATGGCGGACGACGGATTTTCAAGTTGTAAAGAAAAGAAAGGGTCAAAAGAACAGAAACTACCAAGCGAAAAACGGATCCACTACAAAAATATGGAATAACCGCACTTCTTACGAAACAACGACATGTGATGCAAATGAATTAAGGATGAAATCGAGAAATGCAGGCACGAGAAGGTTTACTTTTTGTACTGTAACGTTGTAAAATGACGTTTTTGTGAAACAAATTCCCACATAACTTACCTTCGTGCTTGATTCTGAAAATTAGGATAATCTGTAGCAGATAAAGTGACATAACTTATTTCTATGAACAGGGAGGAAATTTCAGGAGTGAATTTTTTTCAAATGTCCAAGGTAAGTTTCATATAAGCTTAAGCTTACATTCTTTAATCGGTTACTCCTAAATCAGATAAAAAAGCTATACTAGGAGATATATACTATTCTAAGAAATATATGTACATTTGTAAACAAAACCAATTCCAGAGCCCCCGTGAAATATCCCCCCCCCCCCCCCCCCGCCGTGAAATATTCCACTGGTTAGGACTTTACAGAGCGGCCCATTTCATGTCAAATTCGCTGCTATATGGAGCTAAACTCTCATCAAAATATGCAATGCCCCCCCCTAGTCCAGTTCTGGCCCTCTCTCTGTCACACAACGCTACGTTGCGTGACAGAGAGGGCCAGAACTGGACTATGGCCTCCAGGGGGGCGGAGGTTGAGGGGTGCTCTTGGAATTGACTGATACATTATCATTTCTGATTGGTTGTCTGTATGCATATTTGTATAGATAATCATGTGGGGCCAAGTAAAATTAATATCACTTGTGTTTTCAAAAAATTTGCAGAAATTGCTTGTGTCTCGTAATGACAAAGGCAATCTGCAAATTTTGAAAACACAAGTGATATTAATTCTTAATTTTTAAAGGGCAAAATTAGTGTGATAAAGAGACAGTGAACATCACTGGGAGACTATTGGAAATGCTCTCTGACCTTCTAATAACGTTTAGAAAATCTTCAGAAGTCCTAGGGTGATCTTCGGAAATGTTTTGGGTCATCTTCGGCAAACCTCGGATGGTGCTTGTCCAGTATATTTTGCCCTTGATGTTATTAGTTACATAATAATGTGGAGCACGATCACATGGGCGTCAAATCGCAGCTGTCCAATATTATAAGACTAACCTGTCCCCTCATAAAGTATACATCTTTTTCTGGTCCCAAGGGTGTCCACATACAGGCAGTCATTCATCACTAACAGGTCATTTCAGAGTTCCTTTTACAGTGTACCTCTGTTTCATAAAACGAGTCCTGGTGCACATCCTTTCTTATGAAAATGAGTTTTACTCACAAGTTCATTTTCAGACAAATCAAACACATTTTCATTTGAAAGGTTCTGCACCAGGACCAGTTTTGAAAACAGAGGCAAAAAGGCAACTCAGAAATCGCCTACCGTTAAAGCTCTATTTAGGCCCCCTCTCTATTAAGTCCCCCACCTGTTAGAGGTCAGAGTTAATTATAGCATCTAAATATTGATTTCCATCAGGCTGATGTAAATGGTGTTTCAGTCCCTTTTGTATTGAAACATGGTCTTTAATTTAATAACATTGCATTTATAAAACGGTGATACATAACCCATTTCTTGTTCTGTTTTAGTTAGTGGTGTATAGTAAAGATTAAAAAATTAAATGTTAATTTTCTCAAACATTTATGATTTTTGAAATAAGCTCCTTCTCCCCTCTCTAATAAGCCCCCCCCCCCCCCCCCCCCCCCCTTCTTGGGGCTGGTAAATGTGTTACTAAATATGAGAGTTGGAGTCTGTTGGACATAAGCCACTGGGATGCAAGTTCTTATAAGTTCACTCTGTTTCTCTTAGAATTGTTTTGCAATGGTCACTGTGTGAAGAATTCCTCCTGTGGAGCAGCATCTGAAAGACCAAACACCAAAGACATCCAAAGGAACCTGTTGCCGATATTGTTTGTTATGGAATTGGAAAATTAACTTCATGTCCTATAGCGAGATACCAGTTTGCCTTTTTGTTATTGTTGAAAGAGTTTCTTCAGGTAAGACATAGTTAGAGCATGTTGTCAAATGAATCTGTTTTCACTACAGTCTAGGGAGGTGGTTGTGAATATGGAAGGTATAAAAAGTAAATACAGTTGAACGGACACCCTCGGGAAGCAGAAAAAGTGTCTACAACTGAGCTGGCCGCTTATGGAAGTGATTCTTGTAAGAGGCCACAGGCAGTATATGGAATAGGTGGCCACTTATGAGAGCTTGTACCGCTCACACTAATAGTATTAATGGAAAAAAATATCATGGTAAGAAATGTCAAAACAAACAACAACAAAGGCGGCTGTAAGTAGAGCTGTCTGTTTATGAGAGTCTCTGCTCTGAGACTTTGACTGTATATGGTAAAATCTGACATTTCGGCAATTTGACCTTGGAAGAAGGCAGAATTGCCAAAATGTTGGATTTTACCATGTTTTAGCGTTTTTATGAGGTCTTGTTAACAAAGCCACTGATCAGCACTGTCTTCATCAATCATTCCCCCCCCCCCCCCCCCCCCCCATGTAAGGGGAATGAATGATGAAGACTTTCGATTTCCCACAAAACAAAGGCAATGTTTTTGGTACATATTCTATGGAAAGAATTCCCTGAAAAACAGTAATATTATTGTTGGTAACCGTGGTACACTGGCATTGGTCCATGACCTAACTCAAAGTATTTTGTAACATGCAGATTACTGGCCAGTGTTTTTATCTTTGAACCTCATTTTTTGCAAGATGATAAAATTGTGGTAGAGGAGTTTGGATGTTCTCTTATTGAACACAATGAGGTAGGATATCTAACTACCCCCATTATTTTTTATGATGTTTTTACACAATAAAAATTATATAATTCTATTTTTAATACCAATTAATGGTTCCTACTGAAGTCCCCGTGGGAGACGCGGCGGCCTAATGGTGAGCGCATTGGACTCCGGATCAAGTCGTCCAGGTTCAAGCCCTGGCCAGTAGTCCAGGTTCAAGCCCTGGCCTGGGTCATTGTGTTGTGTTTTTGGGCAAGACACTTTAGCTCTCACAGTACCTCTCTCCACCCAGGAGTATACTGGCAAAAACATGCTGGGGGTGGGGGGGTAACCTGCAATGGACTAGCATCCCATCTAGAGGGAGTAGCAATACCCCTAGTTGGCTTCATGCTAAGGAAACCGGCAGGAAAAAATATACAGTTGAATCTCCCGTAAGGGGACACCTTGGGACCAGAAAAAGTGTCCGCTTAAGAGAGGTGTCTGCTTATGGGAGGTTAAAAATGTAGTGTTTGTATGTAGCTGGGAACATGACCAAGTGTCCGCATACAAGAGGTGTCCGCCTATGGGAGCTGTCCGTTAGCGGAGGTTCAACTGTATATACAATCTGTTATTGATGTTTTCTTTAATATTATTGATCTGTTTAGGAAGGAAAGAGAAAAGTGGAAAGTCTGACATTGTTTTTCATGCTTCATTGTGGTAAACCTCTTTATAACAGTGTTCTGTGGGCTAACTGGGGTCTAGGGTTATCCAATGTTGTCATTCTTGGAAACAGGTTTACAAGCTATCAAGAAAGGTGTGTGCTTGCCTCTTTTCTCTAATAGTTCTATTATGAAATAATTATTGTAATATTTGATAGAGTTCTTGCAGCATTCACACATTTGTCCCGTAAGGCACAAACACCTGCCAAAACCTGAAAAATATCCTTTTGATTTAATAAAATACAAAGCATTGTCTGCAGGAGCTATTAGTGTTCCACCAGGGTGCATATAGAAGTGAATTCAGAAATCCTTTTTTCTTTACATTAAAAAAATTATCGGCTAAATGGAGACATAAATAGGATGTTAATATATGAATGAATGACCAGTACCGTAAACACTGGCATATAAGCCGCACCTTTGTTCCAGAAATTCATTCCAAATCGAGGGTGCGGCTTATCTGCGAGAACATCTATCAAAGGTATTAAAAAAAATAAAAAAACACGATCGACACGAACAATAATTGTCGAGTGTTCAAAGTTTGTATCAATTATTGATACAAACTTTGAAACACTCGATTCCACCTTTATTATGTTAATTGAAGCAAAGTTAAAGACTTGACTGCGAGCTTTTTAGTTTTAGTTTTTCCCAAAATTTGAGCTTCTAAACTCGGGGTGCGGCTTATCTGCGAGTGCGGCTTATAACGCCGGTGTTTACGGTAATCTTGATTAGTGTGTCATGCAGAGGGTGAGGCTTGGCCATCGTCTCCAGCCTATGACTGTCAGTGGGTGGCGACTCCATTATTTTATGACCCCTTATGGCAGAGATTCTAAACTGTGTGTTTTGGTGCATGGGGGGGGGGGGGGGGGGGGGGAGTATTGAGGTCCACTAGTCTAGGGTGTTCAAATTCAAATGTGCACAATTAACTATGGTTTGGCACTTCATAGGGGTAAAAATGTATAAATGAGCCAAGTCCACAAAATAAGATTCTAGTGTTTTTAGGGTTTCTGTTAATTTGTCATTTCCAAACATTATATAGCATACCAAACACCTTCCCTGACCTCCCTCCCTCCCCATGGATCAAGCCTCTAGGTTATTACAGACTTCGCCATACTAAATATCTTGATATACTGTATTGTCCATCTTGTTTGTTTTAGATTACCTTCAAGACAACTGAGAGATGAAGTACCTTATATCTACCAATGTATCCTCATTCTTATGTACTTTTGTGTAGTGATCTATTATGGGTTTAACCCTCGCAATACAACCTGGGGGGGGGGGGGTACGGGCTGTTGACTCTCTTATTCCTCGCGAAGCGAGGCCGAAGGCCTCGCGTAGCGGGGTTTATAATTCTGTCCCCAAAGAGCTCACGCGAGAGCAATTCTCGTGTGGCCTTTACGATCATATTTATTTATTTATTTGTTTTGTTTGTGGAAATCGTGGTTGACAGTAATGACGTCACCACGGCGCGCTCGTGGCCTAATGGCTTAAGGCGCTAACTTTTAAATCTGATCTTCGGGATTGAGGGCGAGAGTTCAAATCCTGCTTATGGTCCTTCTTTTTTTTTTTTTCGGTTCGAATCCAGGCCGTTCTTTTTTTTAACCTCCTTTTCTTTGCTTAATAACATTGACTTCGACGCAATCTTTGTACACGTAAATGTAGAAACAGGAACGGCTGCTGAAGAATAACAATTTTTACTCCAAGTTTGTTTATCGAAACGAATTTATATACGGGTCATTTGTGAAAAAAAACCCGGCTTTATTTAAATCCATTATCAACAACAGGAAAAGGAAAGACGACTCAGGAATGTCTCAAAGTACGATCAACATATGGTTTTTAGTTTTCATTGTAGACGTGAAGACTTGTGTCTGAAAATAATTCGCCGATCCGATATTGCGAAGAAGATTTTACCTACAAAAGCGAGGTGGTTTCAGATCATTCGGACGGAAAAGTGGGGAAAACAGTACAAGAGCGCTACAATTTATTACAGATATCAGGAGACGAGCGAAACTCCAATCGAAACCAAACCGGTTGGCATAGCAAAAACACGGCGTTCGTCCGGCGATTCTCAGGAAACCTTGCAGCGATTCTTGGAAACCTTGCAGATCAAATCGCAGCGTGCCCGTTACTAGGCAACAAAAGCTTCGCGAGGACCTGCGAGTCACGTATTACTAGTATGAAAGTGATGGGGATGATAGTCATACATTTTAGGGTTTAAAATGTGTGGCTTAGGGTGTTTAAGTGTAAAATGACTACCGTTAGTCAGAGTCATCTCAGAACCGTTTAGGCTATTAGCTGAAAAAAAAAATACGATAGGAACTACGTGTTTGCCCTTTAAGAATTGGTACCTCTTAGGCCCACAAAACGAAATTCTGGTACCTTTTATGGATTCCTCCAAAAATGTTCATCAGCAGCTGTTAAGTGGGATACGGCAACTCTGTTTAGTAAGTCTTAGTGGAGAGAAGCATTGCATGACGATCCAAGCAACGTCTGTGAAGGACAAGTTGAAGAAACTACTGTTTTATCTCTAAATGGGGGAAGTCTAAATGCTTTCTGTAGTATAAGTATTAAAATACCATAATGTTAAGTTCATTTATGCTGCATTGCTTTGATTTCTTACTTTCCTTCACGGACCGACTTCAGATTCTTCCTTACGTGATGGAAACATCAATTCCCAACACGTTTCATCACACTGACATTTTCAATGATTCGGCAATCCACTGGTTTCCAACAGAAATGCTAGCAACGGTACCCCATGCGGTGTGGAAAAACAATGATGAACCAATATATGATGCAAGTGATCCCGAAATAGTGACAACGAAAGAGAACATTGCGATCTTATAGCCACTGGCCATTTAAATAGGTCAAATAGGCCTCCCTTATCTTACAAAGTGATTGGTGTGCTACGTAATTAACCGCCGTAGCGAATTTCTAGAAGCTGACGTTTCGAGCGTTAGCCCTTCGTCGTTACGCACAACGTTCATAAAACTAACTCAAGACGTTTCGACCTAAAATCTTCGGCCTACATCTGTTTCAAATGTATTTTGGGTATATATATATTTACAAGAGAGGATGATTTGTCGTGCCCATGATAATATAAAATAGTTTCGCGCCATGTTGTGAAAGTTATTTTTATTTCTTTCTGATCGAGGCTGTAACATGACATCACTCGGACTGACCAATCAGGTAGCGCTCTTGTAACTGGACTGGAAATGGACTGGAAGTAAGATCATCCTCTCTTGATATTTAGGTTTTATACCTAATAAATGCTACAATTTCCAACAATATGGTTCAGTATAAAGTTGTTTTTTTTTTATCTCACGACTTGTCGAAATTATTGTTTTTGACGAAGGAGAACAAAATCCTAATCTTGTGTACACCCAGAAATTTTTGAGATTTTGTTCTTCCATTTGGTACCCCCCCGCACGTATTTTTTTCAGGGGCTCGTCTCGGACGGGAAACCGGTACGCACTCGTGCGTGTCACGTCAGCGTTTGCTTCGATTATCTGGAATTTCTCCTGATCAGTTTTCTACCTTCGGTTACCCTGGTCCCAGAGGTTTTCTTTCTTCTACAGAACTCGATCGAAGCTTCGCGGCTAAAATTCGATTGAAAAAGACAAGAAAGAAAACCTCTAGGCCCAGGGTAACCTTCGGTGAGTATCATTGAACTTTCGAATCGGACGTTGTGTTTATTCAGAAACCTTGTGGGTAGCATTTATCGAAGTCTTAGGGAAGCGTGATGACTTATGGTGCATATCAAACAAAACACGAATTGAGTCATTGCAGTGCGACTACTCGAAGTGGGCCAATTTGAAGAAAACTTTCTAGGTTCCCGAGAGGTCCACACTTTGTTGATGTCAAATTTTAATGTAGAACTATTGTCTGTATGCTTCAACGCGATTGGTCAGTTTACGAAAAAGGTCGCCATCCTTTGTTCTTAATTAACGTTTTGATTGGTTACTTTTCTTCAAACTGGCCCGCTTCGAGAAGTCGCACTGTATTAAAGGCCCTAGCCTGGCGGTATTGTTCGCGCGAGGTAAACTTTTACAAAATGAGCGGCGAAGTCTCTTTCTATCGATGGAGTCCAAAAACAAAGAAATAGAATATCTTGAAGAGAATAAAAAAATCATTGAACTGTCTTTGGCGTCCTTCTGCTTCTGGTCATATAATAAATATTTTATTGACCAAGCTTGTTCGGTCAAGATGGCGGGATATTGGCCTCGTTCTTTTTTTTGCGTGTTTATGGACCTCGACTTCGAATTTGGCGAATATGTCGTCATCCTGGACCGAACAAGCTTGGCCAATAACCCATATACATTTTTCCTGATGTCTCAGCAGACAATTTTGGTTAAACTTTTCGCAAAGTGGCTTGAAAAATGCAAATATATGCTTAACTTTGGCGCGCGCCGCGTTACTATCAACAAAGTTTTAAAAATGCCATGATAATACTTTATTGAGCTAGCTTGATCGGTCCGTATTGGGGAATATTTATGAGAACTCGACCAATATTTCCCCG